TCCTATTCGGGAATCTTGAAACTAAAGATGTAAAATGAACATTTTTTTTTTTTTATGTGTATGAGTGTTGTGCTTGGGTTTAAGTGTGTGAAGAGCACTACATTCGGAAGTCATCCAGTGGAATAAAGGTGAACAATTCATGTAGACTTTGAATACATGGGGATGTCTTAGAGGCAGAGCTGATTTTTTTAAATTCAAACCATATTATTAGATTTTTGTTTGTGACAGGGTTTCATTTAGTCCAATCTGACTTGAATTCACTATGTAACAGAGAAGAGATGACCTTGAACTTCCAATCTCCATGCCTCCTCCTTCCAAGAACTGAGATTATTGATTTGCACCAGCATGCCGGGCATTAATTTTTTTTTTTTACACTTTATTCACTTTGTATCCCCCCATAAGCCCCTTCCTCCTCTCCTCCTGATCCCACCCTCCCTCCCTCTTCTTCATGCATACTCCTCCCCAAGTCCACTGTTAGGGGAGGTCCTCCTCTCCTTCCTTCTGATCTTAGTCTATCAGATGACATCAGAAGTGGCTGCATTGTCATCTAAAAGGATGATTACATACTGAACAGTCTGCAAGCACGTCAAACAAACTGGCTAGTTCAGCCACCAGTCAGTCAGCATGAAAAAGTCAAGGAAGTAGTCAATAGGGAGGTTTTTAGGAGTAAGACGGGAAAGAATGTGTTTTTTCACGTCCAGGCCAGCTCTGCTGGTGCCTGTGCTGGGGTCTGGGCCAGATAGTTGCAGATTATTGATCTCTTATCCAAAGAATTGAATCAAGATAACTGTACCTGGATGGCTAACTTGGGTTGGAGAGGGGTATGCCACTAAGAGTGAAAACACTCAAGGGCCCTGGCCATTGTCTGTAGCTTTCATTTATGGTATTCAAGAGAAGGAGGAATTTAGTTCCTGGGAAGTAGTGAGGCTGGCTCAGTGCTTTGACTGGCAGTTTAGGTCATTCAGTTGTTTGTTTGCTTTTTCTCTACTGAGCCTGGCCTTTCTCATAATGCACACCGTTATAATCACATGTAGCCCAGCTCTGCATGGTCCTAAGATGGTCCACGGGAGACTGTCCCCAGAGTACACTTGAGAGAACTTGCCTCACACCCAAAAACCAGATCAGGCCAGCACAATCTAGTCTTCGTATCGGGTACTTTCAATGTATTTGGATAAAAACTGATAAAAAAAAAAAAAATGGATAGGAATATACATAAACCAAGCAGAGTCCGGGGCTTCTAAGGCAGTCCTAGGCTTGCCTGCCTCACACGCCTGACAGTTTTCCCTGGTGCCTCCAGAATGGTGCAGCCAGACACCTTGCCTTTAGGCCAGGGGCCCCTTTCCAGATTCGGCCCATAGAATGGAAGGATGGTAAGTGTGTGGTGTTTAAACTTGGGGCATCTTTAGTGACTTGTTAAAGCAGCAAAAAGGAGCAGATGATTTTTTGCTTTCCCAGTTACTGTAAGGAATAAAGGAGAAAGAAACATGGCCCTTATGCCACAGAGAAACACAGGAATCATTTATTAATCATTTATTAATTACGTTATTCACTAATCAAATGTTATTGAGCTTCTTTTTTTTTTCTTTTCCTCTTTCTGATTTTTATGACACAAGGTCTCATGAAGCCCAGGCTGACCTTGAACTCACTAAATACCCTGGGATGACTCTGTACTGTGATTACAGGTGTGTGCCACCACACCCAGCTGAGCTCTCTTAAGTGGAGAACATTTATAGATGTTTCAGACAGAAGGGGAAAAAAGACTTTAAAAAATCCAAAGCAGTACTGGGGGGTATGCTCAGAGATAGAGCAAATGCTTAGCATGCATAATATTGTGGGTTTAATCTCTAACCCTGCAACAAAACATAAAGCCATGGGGGCTGGAGAGACCACCACCACCACCACAACAAAAAGACAAAGAAAAAAAAATCAGGCAAAAATGGGGCTGGGATGTGATTCAGTTGGTAAGTCAGCATGTGTGGGGGAGGGGGAACAAGGCTGATTGAAGATGTTGGGCCTGAGTAACTGCATGGATAGATAAAGTTGTGGGAGGGAAAGGATTAGAATGGGTGTTGGACACAGTCATCTGAGATGTTTGCTTAACCTCTGAGTAGAGACATCAACCAAGACACTGGAAATAAGAGCTTGGAACTCAAAGGGTAGAACTACACTATGGTTAGAAAAGAGGAAATTAGCAAGCCTGAAATCCAGATGGGTTTTAAACCAGGAGGCTAAACGAAGCTGCAAGAGAGGACTGCAAGAGGTCGAGAGCCGAGGCTGGAAGTTCTGCAGCATTAAGGGACCAGGAAGAGGAGAGTGATGGAGCAGGCTCACCCAGAGCAACAGGAAGAAAGCTGCTGAGGTTCCGAACCCAGGAGAAGCAGAAGGTTCAAGACCAAAGGGTATTTGTGTGAAATGGTGCTAAACCAACAAGTGTTACAGAAGACCAAAGACCACTCAGACATGGGTTTAAGTCAAGAAAAAGTATTTTCCAGCTGGTGACTACACTGGGTGTTTGGGGTCCTAGTGTGGCCCTGAGTCTTGCTTATGGTGAGCTTTTAAGCACAAAAAAACATGTTCTGGGTTGACATACTTCCGTTAACAAGAATAGTTAGCCAGAATCAGAACTGCAGAAGCCAAAATACAAGGTTAGTACATTTAAAGACTTTCCCAGAACCACGGACTTTGACGGATTAGGTCTTTGTTTTTGTTTTGGCAGGTGATGCTGTCTACGTGCTGAGTTTTACAGCCTGAATAATACTTCTACCATAGAGACAGTTGTGCTGAGGTCTGGGGACCTGTCACATTTCCCACTGGTCTCAGTGAATGAGTCAGATTGTACGTTCATCCCTGCTCTGAAGAGGTGTAGTTGTTCCTAAGGACCATTAATTTTATTGAATTGATACATAATTGTCCTTATAGTTTAAGATTCAGAGCCCTGCTGTTAATCCAATCAGAATGAGAATTAAAGCAGAGTAGTTAGCCAGCAGGACCAAGAAAGCAGAGACTAGTACCAATTATCTGATTAATGGCTTTGTCTTTCTCTTTCTGTGAAGCTTTTTCCCAGCATGGCAAAAAAAAAATTTTTTTAAGGTGGTGATTAATTACTCTCACTTGTTTAGCATAGAAACAACAGGTTTTCCTCAAAGACATACAGAGTCCTCCTTATCTCATGGGAAGTAAGTCTAAGACTCTTCAATCTTGTAGGACCACTTCTGCAAGGGAGTCTAACTGCTATTCCAATTCAGAAGTGGAAACTTTCAATATACACCTAGGTCCTGGTCAACCTGTCTACTTAGCTTCCTGAAGTTTGTATTTCCCACGATAAAGGCTAATGTGCCTATGGCTTTTGGACCACCTATGCCAGCTTCATCCAACCAGGAGTGGGATGAGGACAGTTGCAGTTCTTTTTTCCTTTGTAGTCCAGGGTCTAATTAAAATGTTGTGTTTTTTTTTTTCTTTTCCATTACATAAGGCATCAGAAGAAAAACATTTAATTAAACCATTAGAGCATGTCCACCAAGCAGTCTTAGAGGCTCAGTGATTTAGCTGTACTCCACGTGAATGAACCCGAAAGGCAGAAACAAATGGCATCAGAAGAAGAGGAAATGCCTAGGCTGAAGGCTTTGGATATTAGACAAGTTTCAGTCCTTGTAAGTAAGTCCTCTAACATTGATTTAGGCTGCCCCCCAGCCACAGGGCGTTTTGTCAATGGGCTGATAGTCTGGTTAGCTACTATCCATCTGGGTAGTTTGGGGCCACAGGTCCAACCATGACCAGCAACCCTGACCAACTTCTGACTGGCAAAGATTAACTAAGTGGTAGATATTTTCAAGAGTGAAAAATAGGGATGAAAATCTTTTGGCTTTCTGGACAGTGGGAAGTGGGACTCAGGTCCGGGTATGTTAAGGTCTTTGGAGGGAAACATTGGTGGGGCCTTGGCATAGATCGGAGATCTTTGTTAGAATCCAAAGTTCTGGGGACTTGGTGTGTAAGTGTACTTTCTAAAACTATTTTTGGGGGTTTCTTATACCTCTTCTTCCCTTCTCCACCCGAATCCTTTCCCACACCCCAGGTAGGAGAGAAAGAACGTGGGGAGAGGGGGCGTAGTTTTCCTTAGCTACTTCCTACTGTCTAGGATCGTCAGGTTCCTTGGGGCAAGTCCAATTCTGGTTTCAGGTCACCTCTGCCTTCTCGCTGCATCAACAGCAACCAGGAGCAGCAGTTGGGGGAGCACCAGCAGCCTTCTTCTTTCTATTGTGTGCCCCTTTCTCTCTCTGGACTCTGGCCTTTATTCCCTCTCAGAGTCCTCAGAAATAAACCATCTGCAGCTGGCAAAGAGCCTCTCTCAGAGCCCACAGGAGGCAAATAGTTTGCTGCTGTGGACCATATGAATCAGTCCCATACATATCCCACACCTGGGATTAAAACAAAAACATGTTTGCACATCATAACCCAAAACTTCCACAACACGTGTGTGTGTGTGTGTGTGTGTGTGTGTGTGTGTTTGTATGTGTGTGTTCTTCTGTAGAGTAAATCTATTCCCTATGGCAGAGAGTCTGATTCCTGGGTTTTCCCTATTTCACAAAGGCCAGAATCTTTAAGAAGTTCAGGAAGCGAGTTTCATAACACCGATTTTTACAGTGGAAACTCCCTTGGTTTTGGCAACTAAAAGGCCCACCCATAGGGCATGCATAAAATTGGAAACCCTTATATCTTTCCTTTCTTCAGTATAACAAGATACTTAAAGAAAGTAGGCACCAGAGAGCAAAGGTCAAGATTCATGTGGTTTCCTGGTCTGTAGTCACAATAGCAAATACTTTTCCTGTGTCTTCCTCAGTTCCCAAATCCAGACACCTGAGGGTGGTGGAGGTTGGACCATGACCTTGTGTTCATATCAAACATAAGACTCAAGAGAATGTAGAGGGAAAGGGAGTGAAAGGAACCAAATAAAAGTTTAATATTAATGAGATTATAGCTCAAAGTCCATTTGGCATCCTTAGTCCTTCTCTCTTGACCATGGATCCATGGTTTAATACCTGCTACTTTCAAGGCTGGAGGAGAGGAGAGAATCACCATGTGGAGTCCTTTCAGGTTGGTTCCAGTGCCCCTTTGGGTACCTGCTTGATCCAGATGGTATCACTAGTCTGAAACAAGGGGAGACTGGTGGTGGACTTGGAGGTTGGCTGGATCACTCAGAGAGTCCAATGAATAGTCTTTATGGAGGACTGGAGGTCCTGGGGTGTCTTGAGAGTGGCATGGCTAGAGAGTTTTGCAAATGCTCCTCTCTGAGCTGAGGAAGCAGCCTGGGAGTTCTTCCAAACATAATCTCACAGAGGGGAAATCTCTTCCTACATGAAGCGCAGAGGGCCCAAAGCAAAACAAAGAAGATCTATCCTCCCTCAGAGGACTAACAAGGGTTTTGTTGTTTTTCTTTCTTTCTTTCTTTCTTTCTTTCTTTCTTTCTTTCTTTCTTTCTTTCTTTCTTTCTCTCTTTCTTTCTTTCTTTCTTTCTTTCGTTGTCTTATTTGTGTGTTTTTTCATTGGAGCTGTCACAGCTCGTAGACTGGTAGGCCATCCTATGGCTACAGGGTCCAATCGTTTGGACAGATATTTCACATGGCATTTCCCTGCCTTAAAATTTGAGTTAAAACCCCTTTTGAAATGTCTTGTTTCATGGACAAACAGATAAAAAGGTTTCAAGACATCTGGAAATGCTAGAGCTGGAGCCAAAGTCAGAGGTGTTTTCAAAACCTCAAATGCCTTTTGTTTAGTTTCAGTCCAGGTTAGGGGATCTGTGCCTTGCTATTTCCACGAACTTTAGTATCCAGAGGCGGCGATACTCAGCTATACCTACAAACTCTTGAACTCTTTGGAGTTGGGAGCTAAAGAATGGCAGCAATCTTCCCATGAGACAGGCTCCTTTTGCCTCCCCACAGCTGGTGCTAAAATATGTGCCCTCTGATATGTAAAGTTGGGCTTTATTAGCCAACATTCTGTAGCCCAAGGTCTGTAACTCTTGCAGCATTCCTTCAGTGACCCTTTTTATAATTTACTTTAATTTTACAGGTTAGGAGGAGGTCATTAATATATTGCAAGACTATGATTCCAAGAAGCCTCTGGCAGAAAAGCAGGAGATCAGCATTTAGTGCCTCATCAAACAGGGTTGGAGAATTTTTATATCCTTGGAGCAACCTGGTCCAGGCACATTGCACACTATAACCTCCCTCTGGGTCTTTCCATTTAAAAACAAAGATAGGCTGACCCACCTCTGCCCATGGGGGAGGGGCTGAAGAAGGCATCTTTCATGTCCAAGACAGTATGCACCTGTTTCTCTGCAAGACTCAGACTCGTGAGAATCAGAGATTCCTGGTTTCTTCATAGGCAGGAGAGTTGTATTCCAGGGTGACTGGCAGGGCACTAGGATGCCTGTCTCTCCAAGGCAGGCAATATGGACTGCAATTCTCCTTTTTGTTTCCAGGGTCACTGGGTATTGTTTAATCTGGAGGCGGGTAGCTGAAGCGGTTCGTTGAACAAAGATAGGAACTTGGTTTTGGGCCAGTTCTGAGAGGTTGGTTTCTGCCCACATGCCTGGGAATCTTCCTTGTAAATTTAAGAGATAGTCCAACTATATCTTTTAACTGGAGGCAGAACTTTTAGTGAGGCAACATTCTTCTCACAGAGAAGACACCAAAATTTTGCTGAGTATCAATAGGTCTTAACTGCATTTCATCATCAGAGAAGGTGATGGTGGCTTTCTGTCCATGCACAATGTCCTGTCTCTCAATTGGTTCTCTGTTGTTACACACCTCTTGAGCTACCTCCAGGAACCGAGATCTATTTATATGTTTATAGCTGAGGCTGGCTGGGTAACAAAGGAGATAGTTTTTAGCAGTTGTCTTTAATCTTTCTGAAAAGGACCTGGAGAAAATTGTTTAAAGTCTCCTCGGTGTTAGACCGAAGGAAAAATCCATTCTATCCTGGTTGAATGTTCTAGCAGCAAATCCCCTGCCTGGTTCGTGAGAGGGTTAGAGGTCGAGGGTGGGGGTGTCACCACTTCCATTTTTTTAGAGAATGGAAGGTTTTAAGTATTCAAGTTTTATGGATCATTGGTTGAAAAAGAGACATAAATCATGAAAGAAGAAAGAGTGGTATTTCCTTCTTCCTCCTCTCTCTGGTGTTGCTTAGAGCAGGCCGGGGAGCAGAGAGAATGTTCCTCAGAGAATTGTTTCCCCCTCCCTGTGTGCATTCCCCTTAGACAGCAAATGGCCCTGGATGAGAGGTTTGGCCCCTCCTCACTTCCACACAGGGATGTGACCGTGAGGGAGAGTTAAGTGATGAAACGAACAAGGTCTCTGAGATTAGGACAGAATGAGGTGATTGCTTGTTTGTTTCTCTGGGTGACCTGGCACAGCCCAAAAGATTTGAGTCCCCAACAAGGGGGCACAGGTCTTAAGTCAGTGGTGTGGGAGTGTGGGCCTCATGCCAGAGAAAGTCACTTATGAATATAAGAAAACAGACCTGACAGAAACACATAGACACACAGAATGAGAAAGACAGTAAAGATAACCAGGGGTGGCCATATTCTCACACCTGAACAGAAGGGGGTATCTGGTGAATTCTCTCACGGATCCCAGACACTGGATCAGAGGCTGATTCCGACCTCTCCTATGTGTCCAAACAGAGGGCGCCTTAACCAGACTTACCCCTGGAGGTGACAGACCAGGAGATGTTCGACTTTGTTTCATTGTGAGGTGGTGGTGTCAGAACCCTCTGAAACATTAGGCGGTGACTGATCATGGCACCTGGAACATATCAGGTTGCACACTTCCTATTAGCTCCTTGACCACCAAGTAGCTTCTTCCATTCCAGGGGGATCCGAGATCCCAGGTGTTTGGAGGTCTTACCTCTGGGAGCTCAGTGGGACCTCCAGAAATGTGGGGTATTCACCTGCGAAGACTGCTTGGACACTGGTTTAAGCCAATAGAAAGTCTTTATTTGCCAGCTGTCGTCTACACTGGGTGTTTTTTGTGGTCTTTCTCAGGGTGGGCTTTCAAACACAAAAACCATATCCTGGGTTGATCTACTTCGGTTAGCAAGGACAGCTAGCCAGGCGTGGAACTACAGAAGCCAAAAAGCAAGGTCAGTACATTTAGAGACTTTCCCAGACTATGGAATTTGATGGATTAGGTCTTTGTCTTGGCAGTGGTACTGTCTATGTGTTGACTTGTTGTCTGTGTGTTGAGTTCTATAACTTGCATGGCACTTCCATCGTGGAGTCAGTTGTACTAAAGTCTAGGGGCCTGTCACAACAGTTCACATAAAAGCTCCAGGGGTAGATGGGGGGGGGCGGTTTTCCCAGTGCATTCTATTAAGTGCCTGGCTGGAGGCAGTAGTGCTCAAGAGACAGAGGCAAGAGGGCAAGAGGCACTCTATGAGTTCAAGAGCTTCCTGAGCTACACAGAAAGTTCCAGGGAACAGATACAGACAGTTCTTCTTTTATTCTTTCACAGTGTCACATGTACTAAAGGTTTATTTGTGTGTGTATATGAGTGTGTGTGTGTGTGTGTCTATAGGTTCCCACAGGGGCCAAAAGAGAATGTTGAGCCCTAGACTTACAGGTGGCTTTGACTGGCCTGACCTGGGTACTGGGAATTGAATTTAGGTCCTCTAGAAGAGCAGTGCTCTTAACCATCTCTCCAAGCCTGGTGTACTTAATAATTTTAATATTTGACCATTTTTACCTGTCATTATCTCCACTCCCACCAAATCCCTCCTTTTTCACAAAAGTCCCCTCACCCTACACACACACACACACACACACACACACACACGAATCACATACTAAAAAAAAAAAACAACAACACTTCTTTCAGACTTGTTTTAGTCATTGATCTATTGCTGTGAAGAGACACCATGACCACGGCAGTTCTCATAGAGGACAACATTTAATTGCGGTTGGCTTACAGTTTCAGAGGTGTAGTCCATTATCATCATGGCAGGAGCATAGTGGTGTGCAAGCAGACATGGTGCTGGAGAAGTAGAGGAAAGTCTTATATCTTGGCAGGAAGCTGAGAAAATGTAACACTGTAATACCATTCCTTATGAGTCTATGGGACAACTTTCATTTAAACCACTACAAGACTCTTCTTGTTCTTCCTACCAGGAGGCTTTTGCCTCTGGGGCCTCTTTGTTTTATTCTGGAGACTTTAAGATACACCTGCCAAGAATACAGAAGGCTGCTTGCCTCCCTCACTGACCACAGCCAGGGTCAGTTCAAGGTCAGTGGTCTAGAAAGCAGGACTCTCCACCATGCACGTTTGCGTTGTTAAGCATTGTTTAAGATGGATGGCACCCTAAAGCAGCGGTTCTCAACCTCCCTGAGGCAGCAACCGTTTAATACAGTTCCTCGTGTTGTAGTGACCCCAACTGTAACATTATTTTGTTGATTCTTCTTAACTGTAATTTTCTGTTGTTATGAGTCACAATGTAATTATCTGTTATATAGAATATCTGATATGTGACCCCTGTGAAAGGGTCATTCGACCCCAAGGGGATCATGACCCACAGGTTTAGAACCACTGCCCTTCAGTGATGAAGACTGACAATTGTGACAGAAACTATAAAGTGTTCAACATACTACAGAGCTCTTTCTAGAAAGAAGAGGCTCGACTGTAACAGAAACCATGGGAAGCATTAGAGAAATAGCTAAGGAGTTCAGAAGAACAACATATTTGACTCATGTGTGGTATGTTGATGTTAATAGTTTTTTCCTATGCCTGCTCTAGCTCCCATACAACAAAACAGAGACCGGTTTCATTTATAATAAGTTTCAGGCACCATCACTGGCCAGATATTGATCTATTCTAACCCATCTATGGTAGCTGGCCTACTTCCCAGCCATGTGCCTGTCCTCCAGTCTTGTCCTGGCCATTTCTGCTCCATGCTTGTCTCCATGGAGACTCCTCCGTGGTGAATTCTTCCTTGGCATGGTGACTGTCCTTCTTTTTCTCCTGGCATGGCCTCATGGCTACTTCCTTATGGCCCAGCATCCTCCCCCCATTCCCCACTTGAGAAACACACACACACACACAGACACACAGACACACACACACACACCAGGAATGAAAGTTCCACCTACTGTCCCCTCTGGCCCAGTCATAGACTCTTCACCTTCTTTTATTAACCAATCACAGATAATTGTGGAATATTTTTTACACAGCATCGAGATAGGCGATTCCTCAGTAGCAATGACAATCCCAGGATCTGTTAGCCTTTAGCTCACTACTGGTAGAGCAATTAACAATTGAATATTCAGAGACACACCTTAATACAATAGCAGTGAAGATCACCTCTACAGTGGTGGTGTATACCTTTAATCGCAGCACTTGGAAGGCAGAGAGAGAAAGAAAGAGAAAGGATCTCTGGGAAGTTCTAGGCTAACCTGTTCTATAGAGTGAGTTCCAGAACAGCCACAACTACATAGAGAGAGACCCTGTCTCAAAAAAGAAAATAACGAATGAAGGAAGGAAAAAAGGAAAGAAGGAAAAGAAAGAAAAGAAAGCAAGCATGTTTGGTTTTGAGACAGCCATGTTGCCCTGGCTGGCCTTGAGCTCCTGGCCTCAAGCAATGCTTTGGTGTCAGCCTTCTGCATAGCTGTGACTATGAGCACCAGTCGGCATTCCTAGATAGAAATGAGTGTTTAATGAAGAAGAAGAAGAAGAAGAAGAAAACATTTTAAAATGCCCTCTGAAAAGATGAACTGGCGAGAATAAAAAGTAATGTTTCAGGAAAGATAACTGGAGTGAGTGCTCCAATGAAGGGATGGTCTCATTCTGAATTTGTATACACACATCCCCTAGTATCACTTTATTCAAAGATGTGGTACCTTGAACATGAATGACACTATCTCACTGTGTAGCCCTGGCTGTCCTAGAGCTCATTATGTAGACCAGTGCAATCTCAAACTCACAGAGGTCTGCCTACCTCTCCCTTTGAATCCTGGGATTAAAGGTATACACTACCATACCTGAAAAGAAATGTAACATTTAAACACTATATTTCAGATTGTGTTGTTTTGTACACGAATGTTTTGTCTGCATGTGCCATACAAGGCACACATAGGTCCTCTGCAAAAGCAGCAGGTGCTCTCAATCCCTGAACCATCTCCTTAGCTCCTGCCATTCGGTTTTTTTAACCTACTGTTCTAAGGAAGAGTGAGAGTATAGGCCAGCAGCAGGATGCTTACCTGGGAGTCAGGAAGGCCGGGCTTTAATCCCTAGCACCCGAACCCAAACCCAAAACAAAACTTCCTGTGTGGGTGTGTGAAGAAGTGGGAATGCTTACATTTCTGCTGAGAGCGTAAGTTGCACAGTCTCTATTTTTCTTTTTTAAAAGGCTGATCTGTTTCGAGTAGGCAAGTACATGCGGCAGGCATGTCACAGTGGAAGGGAGAGGGTAACTCGAAAACTCCATTCTCTCTACCGCTTGGGTCCCAGAGATCAAATTCAGGTTGTTGGACTTGAAGCTAAGTGCCTTGAACAACGGACTTATATCAATGGACACAACAGTACGATTTCTATAGGAAAGACATGAACACACCAGGAAGCCTAACGCCCAGAACCTTAAAAATCTACCTCCAAGTTGGACGTAGTAGCACACGCCTTTAATCCCCAGCACTTGGGAGGCAGAGGCAGGTGGATATCTGTGAGTTTAAGGCCAGCCTGGTCTACATAGAGAGTTCCAGGACAGCCAGAGTTACAGAGTGAAATCCTGACTCGAAAATAACAAAAATTAAAATTAAATTTACTTCCCCACCCTCACCCCCGAGATTATCTCTGAAGGATCTAGGACAGTCTGGAAGTTTTGAAGAATCTGGATGGGATTCAGCAGTGCTCAGGAAGCTTTCCTTCCTGGAAGAAATGGCAGCAGAACCTAGCCATAAGCAAGGTTTTTGGAGGTTTAATTTTTTTTTTAAAGACTTGTTTTTTTCTATGGTAGTTTGCCTGCATATGTGAGCCTGCCAGATTTCCTGTCAATGAAGTTACAGAAAGTTCTGAGCTGCCATATGGGTGCTGGGAGTTGAATCTGGGTCCTCCAGAGGAGCAGCCGGTACTCTTAACCCTGAGCCATCTCTCCAGCCCCAGGGGGCCAATTCTGATAGCATGTTCACAGGCCCAAGGAACTCTTTTCCTTTACCCTTGTTAGGGGGATTTCAATCACCTCCCCTCTTGTAGGAAACCACACACTGAAACCTATCATCTTTTCAGAAAGTTCAAACATTGACCCAGTAATCCCACTTCTGGTAACTTATTCCACACAGATCTCACACGTGTGGAGATATTCATTGCAGCACTGTTTGAGAGTGAAAAGCTGCACTTGACCTGAATGCTTATGAGAGGCTGATTTGAGTATTTCGGGGGTCAATTTAGACATCGTGGCACATCCCACGCACTGTGCAGACAAGAGCAAAGTGGCTCCATGTAGGCTGAGATGGACTGTTTTCAAAACATTACATTAGCTGACAGAAGCAAAGCCTCCGAGTCAGGTTTTCTATTGCTGTGTTAAAATACCATGGATGAAAGCAACTTGGGAAGGAAAGAGCTTATTTCACTTACACTTTCGTATCACAGTTCATCATTTTGGAAGGCAGTCAGGGCAGTGACTCAAGCAGGGCAGGACTCTGAAGGCAGGAGCTAATGCAGAGGCTACGGAAGGGTGCTGCTTGCTGGTTTGTGTCCTGTGGCTTGCTTGGACCACCAGCCCAGGGATGAACCCACCCACAGTGGGCAGAGCCCTTCCCGAATCAGTCACAAGCTAAGACAAAGCCCCCACAGTCTTGCCTACAGCTGGATTTTACAGACACATTTTTTAAAATCAAGGCTACCTCCTCTCCAATGATTCCTGTCTTGCATCTATTTGAAATAAAAACTAGCTAGGACACAAAACAAAACCATTTCTTACTAGGTAGATGGTATAATTTGTTCATCACTTGCTTCTAGTACCTGATCTTCACATTGCTTGATGAGCTTGTGTGTGTTTTTAATTTTTTTTTTATTAATTACACTTGATTTACTTTGTATCCCCCCTGTAGTTCCCTCCTTCCTCTCCTCCCAATCCCTACCTTTCTCCTCCTTCTCCAC